CCCCCTGTTTTATTTTTCTCTGTTTACTCGTTTTGTCTCTAAACATTAGCGACGAATGTCGACCACTCAAATAATTTGCCGACCACCGTTTGAACCTCTGTGGGAGAGAGGAGGCCTCTATAACTCTAGTAGCGTGGAATGACAGACGGTGTCAAACGCCTTTGACAATTCCAACGCTACTAGAATCGTTCTCTCACAGGGACGGTTTCGGTTAAGGCCACGAGTTATCTGAGTGTTTATGGCGTTAAGTGCTGTTGTTGTACTGTGCACTTTACGGAAACCATGCTGATGCTTCGCAGGGGTCAGGTGGTTTGTGAATTACGGGAGTAGCTANAGAGTAGCTAGGCCTCGAGTGTCTTCGCTACCTTGGAAAGGAGTGTTATCGGACGATAAGAATCTCCTTTATTGGCAGGATTCCCCGGTTTGAGCAGTGGGACCACTCTCCCCACCTTCCAGATGTCTGGGATGATGCGAGTGGCCATAGACAAGTTGAGGACCTCCGTTAGGTATGCTACCCCCGCAGGACCCAAATTTTTCAGCATCAGCATGCATATTCCGTCGGGACCCATGGCTTTGGAGGCTTTCGCCTTCCCGATGGCCACCTTTACCGCAAGTGAAAGCAAGGGGGGCACAGGTTGTTGGCAGTTTGTGCAGCCTTCTGTAGCTCGTTTCTGTAACAATTCTCTACCAAGGCGAATTGAGATATGAATTCGCCGCCCTGTTCTCTACTGCTAATTAGTAGGTGAGAGTGACGGTTTTTCTCTAGCAGTAGAGAAATAATCGGTAGAGAAAAGTTACAGAAACGGGCTACTGGTCACTCGACGCTTGGCTTTGTCCACGACCTAAACGTGGTTAGATCGCCGAAACAACAGCCCTTGGTCGGGTAAAACCCGAGTCATTCCGTTACGTAGAACCGGCTGTCGTGGGAATGGTCATCGTGGACGCTGGCAATTATATTAAAGGTACAATTTAACTCTACTACAAAGGGTGTAATAAGGCGCGAGCATGGGAGTTTAACCAACAGCGCACTGTGTTGGATGATCGNTGGACGCTGGCAATTATATTAAAGGTACAATTTAACTCTACTACAAAGGGTGTAATAAGGCGCGAGCATGGGAGTTTAACCAACAGCGCACTGTGTTGGATGATCGAGTGGACAATTCGAACGTGCCATATACACGGGAAATATTCGATGCTTTGTGTATGCGTTACGAAGAACCGCATGGCAACTGCCGTTGGGATAGTCCATCGTTTGTGGTGTTTCCCGATGATGCGCTTAATTTAGAGACTATCTATGGCGCGCTGTACGAGTCGAAACCCCTGCCACCAAATCAAAGCACACAAAATGTAAGCAAAGAAAAAAATTAAAAAAGCAAATACTTAGTTTGTTTACTTCTACCATTCTTATAGCCACCACTAAGCGCTACAAATTTTCTTTTCGAGCTGGATAAGTTAACGCAACCAATTATAGCCGACGCCTTGGCTGCACGAAAAATTCGTAACACCGGTCCAGTGACGGTGAAAGGTAATCAGATGAAAGTAGAAGTTCCGGTGGCCGTAAATGCTATTGAACTGAACTGAAATGAAAGTTTAAATAATATAATTTAGAATTTCAACATCTTAACGGCAACAAAAAAAATAAAAAATTTAATACTTGTAGTAAGTGGCAATGGCGCATATTCATAGTCAACTAACATGCTGTGAAACATACAAATAGTAGATATCTAAATGCTATGCACAAATTTACTTTAAAAGAACTAGCGTGAAACTGACTAATTATTTGAGAATTTATATAAATTATTCCAATTATAAAATTGTGATGTAGCTTTATTCGAATTGTTATACGCATTTAATTTCATCTTCCGATTAAAATGGATCAATCTTTTTAAATTTTAATGGGAGATTACTCAATATTATCAAAATCACCCTCTACCAACTTAATTTTTACATATTTCGTCTGTTTTCCCTTAATTTGATAAAATACTTCTTCCTAGTTACGACTTACTTGCAGCCGCAGCCGAAACTAAATTTTAAGTTGGTACTTAGCCAGAAAAGTCGAAACTAAGGCGACTATGAATAGCTTTAGTTGTGACTTAGAATAGTTTCGAC